ATTTGACCTAGAGGAAGCGAGGCACTGCTCCTATTTCAGGGATTTGACATGACAACCGCGTGGAAAATCGTGGGAGAGTTGTGCTCCCATGAAGTAGTAACTGGAGGAAGATACCCGAGGGATTATGTAAGCAAAATCCCGGGGCACCCAAGTGGTGAGTGACTTCATTTAGGTCAGCCCTTGCAGGAGAGATTTAATCTCAGGAGACTTGAGTTTCAGTTGGAAAAACTCACACAGCAGTCCAAGCCTTGAAGGTCTTTGTTGTGTCATTTGACCCCTCTGGCACACTGAACCATGAAGTCAACACACCTGCTTATTGTCCAACTGCTTGGCCCTCATCCTTGTATTTCCTCTTTCGGAATACAGTAGCTCTAGCAGAGTGCTGGTTCTTCTCTGCTCCATACAATGTTAGGGTCTCAGAGTGTCTTCATAAGTGTTTCCCAAAAAAACTCAATTCTCATCACACTATGAATCTGAGGCGATTCCTACCTTCACACCAGAGATTACCTTTTCTCAGTCTTTGCCCATCATTTCTGCTTATAATTAATTATAAAAAAGAAACTCTTTTCTATTTTCCCTGTGTTCTTTTTGGCTACCTGGGGTTTCTTCACGTCGAGTTGTTCTTTGATTTTTATGGTTCCTTTAAGAAAAATGTCACTGGTTCGAATTCTTTGCTTCCTTTTCACTTCCTTTTCTTCTCTTCCGTTCTCTCCTTCTGCACAGAGCACTGACAGTACTTAGAAGGAGATATTTGCTTTACATTTTGTTGTAACAAGACTATAAAGTTGCCTTCTAAGTTATTTTTTTAACGAATGCTGTTATATATTCTTTTTTCTCAAATGTGATGGTGGAAACTCTATGGGGCAGTTCTACTCTGTCCTGTAGGGTCGCTATGAGTCAGAATCGACTTGACAGCAATGGGTTTGGTTTGGTTTAATGGTGCCTACACAATCTTCTGTGGTACACCTAGAAAGAAAAGACAACTTTGACCCTAGTTGCTTTCTGTTACATTGAATTCTATAGCAACTTTGTTCCAGAAATCATTCTTGATTTTGTTCAGGTACACACTGAATATCCTTGAAGAAATTGGTGGTGGGCAGAAGGTCAACGATGACATTATTGTCAACTGGGTGAATGAAACATTGAAGGAAGCTGGGAAAAGTTCATGCATCTCCAGTTTCAAGGTAAAATTCCTAGCCTACCACGAGGGCCACCTGACTCTCTGCTTATCTTTGTTGTCTGCACTGTATTTTAAAGTGAACTTCAGTGTTAGGCACTCGAGGCTCCCCCTCCCATTTTGATTTTGCTTGGACCATCCGTTATTGTTTTGATGTTCATAGGCCGTTTCATTAACAAATTTCTTGTATTTCACTTTCTGCCATAATAATTAATAATAATAAAGGCATCGGTTTTTATGTATCATTTTAGGCATTGTTCTTTCAGAGTAACATAAAATATGATAGTCTTATTTAAATGCTCACAGTTCCATGATTCTGGTTTTTAACATTATGATGGTTTTAACATTTTTAACATTATAATTTATCATTATGATGGTGAAATGTTTAATGCTCTCCCACGTGGTGTTTTTTGAGAAAAACTGTTGTATAACTGTATCCAAACCCCATTTTTATTAATTACAGCATTATTTTTTATTCAGTTTCTTGACTCGGGTATCTTACGTTACTCACAGTCTTCCTTAAACAACCTGCACATGTGACTAGTATTAGAATGCATGTGCCGCCTTAACTACGCTTTTGTAGCTTTAAGGTCAGCATCAAGGGAAGGGGGAAACACCTTCGGAGACGTTTAACACGATCAGCGATGCCATTCTTCATGATATTCATCCCCGGCCCAAAATCTACAGCAAATTCAAATGTCTCCCCACCAGTAAGAGAGTAAGGGAGTCCCTGGGTGGCACAAATGATTAAGTGCTCAACTAGTAACTGAAAGGTTGTCGGTTCAAACCCACCCAGAAGTGCCTTGGAAGAAAGTCCTGGTGATCTGCTGAAAAGTCACACCCTTGAAAACCCTATGGAGCACAGTTCTACTCTACACACGTGAGGTCAACATGAGATGGAGATTTGATGGCAACTGGTTTTTTTTTTTTTTTTTAAGGGCAAACAATGTCTCTGGGCAGGGCTGTACCAAGAGTGCCACTCCTTGTAAGCCACCACAGATAAGGGTCACTTCAGCCCTACCTCCAGCCCACTGTTCAGTCTGGAGAGCTGAGCAAGTATGGGAGCAGAAGTGACTCTGTGGTGTCGAGTGATAGAAGTGAGCCAATTCTTCCAGAAAGATTTGGAAAGGCAGCGGAGAAGGGCAAAGGGCACTCCGATATTGAATGCACACTGAGTGCCAAGTACTCCTCATTCTTGTTCTCTCATTTCATCCTCACAGACATTGGAAAGTAGACTTTACTATCCTCCTCATTTCATAGGTGAGGAAGCCAAAGCTCAAGTCTTTTCCTAAAGTAATTGCCAGTGATGGTCCATAAGTGAGGGGAAAAGACCTTTCACCTATGGGATGAGGTTGTAGAAGCAGAGTGTATTATAGATATTTAACTACTACTTATGAGGTGACTGAGGCATTGGTGGTTCAGTGGTAGAATTCTCACCTCCCATGAGGAGACTCAGGTTCAATTCCTGGTCAAAGACCTCGTGCGCAGCCACCGCCTATGTGTCAATGGAGGCTTGTGTGTTGCTATGATGCTGAACAGGTTTCAGCAGAGCTTCCAGACTAAGACAAACCAGGAAGGAAAGCTGAGGAGCTAATTCCAAAAGATTACAGTGGAACAGTATTTGATTTCCAACCAATCATGGGGATGGGGTCCATGAGGTCGCCATGAATCAGAGCCCACTCAATGACAAAGAACAACAACGCAAAGTGACTAGTGAAATAGCCCAGGATACATCTTTGTCTACTGTTCAGTTAGCAGCCAAGCTCCAGCCCATTGCATTACCTGTGGCTCTCAGGGTGCTCTGGGAATGAGGTTTGGCAAGCTATGCTGGGGTTCACTCTTGGGAATGTATGACAATTCTTTTGTTCCTTATGATGCTCTGGGGTAACTTTCTTCTGTCTTTCCACTAAGACGTTACACAATTAGGTCAATAGAAAGGACCACACTGTGTACCAAGGGAAAATGTCACATCAGCCCCACATTTCTTTTAAATGTACAAAATCCTTAGAAACAATGAACACAGCCTACTCCTGATTAACCATTTTGGAAACAATCCTGTTTCCCTCCTCATCTACTTCCACTATCTCTTGCTGGCCCGTTTCTCTGCCTGTCAACATGTTCACAAGACTGTGGACAGAAAATAAGAAGGAAGATGAACTACAAATCTTTCCATTTTGCTTCCTCTTGCTTCTTCACCAAATATTTCTGTGAGGGTAGAAGCTAAAGCTGTTGGTGAAAAGTTGGATTATGATTACTGAGTTTAATTTCATGATAGTCCTTTTATTAACCAGGAATAAATAAAAATGGACCCATTATGTTAAACATATTATTCTACCTAAGTAGCAGACTGATACTACAGACTTAGCATCTTACAAGGGTCCTGGGTCCTGTCTCTTGCTTAGAATTTATTCTGACTTGAACCCTCAAAGTTCCAAAGTACTTGGGCTTCACCGTGCTTGGACAGTGACGTGCAGTTGGCCCTCCTTCTCTGCATCTCACGGTTCCCCAGGATGGAGGTTTCCTGTTTGAGCAGGAGAGAGAGTCAGGTGGGCACAGCAGATGCTGTGGAGTTCTGTGCAGTCACACCTTAGGAGCTGTCACCACTCTACCTGTGAACATCAAACTATTTTCTAATGCCAAAGAAGGAGCCCAGGATTTAATGTTAGAATAAAAAAATAAACTAGTTGCCGTCCAGTCAACTCCGACTCATGGTGACCTTATGTGTGTCAGAGTAGAACTTGGCTCCACAGGGTTTTCCAAGGCTGATTTTTTGGAAATAGATTCCCAGGCCTTTCTTCTGAGGTAACTCCAGGTGGACTTGAACCTCCAACTTCCAACCTTCCAGTTAGCAGCCAATCACTTTAACTAGGGTCTGCTATGTCAGAATACTCGGGTCCAAATCCTAGCTCCACTGCTTATCAGCAAGTGACTTGACATCAGAAACTTCCATTCCTCTCTGTAAATTAAGAGTAGATGCCTACATCTAGGGCTTCTGGTGATAATCAAGTGAGATAACCTATGAGAAAGTGCTGGGAGCCCTGGTGGCGCAGTGGTGAAAGTGTTTGGCTGCTGACCAAAAGGTCAGCAGTTCAAACCCACCAGCCATTCCATGAGAGAAAGATGTGGTAGTCTGCTTCTGTAAAGATTTACAGCCTTAGAAACCTTGTGGAACAGTTCTTACTCTGTCCTGCAGGGTTGCTATGAGTAGGAACGCACTTGATGGCAATGGGTTTGGTCATTGCCATTAATCACAAAATTGTCCTCACTGTCTCCATGGGCCTATGGACTGTTCTGTTTTCCTGAGGTATCCAAAGGAGCATTCACTGAAGCTTATGCCCATCTGCACCCTCATCACTCTCCCTGCCAGTCACCTCTAGGATGTCCTTTCAAAATGAAGCAAGAGTTTCTCCAGATGCCTTTAGTCTCTCCTTTTTTTTTCAAACATTCCTTCTCCCCTTCTATCACTACATCGCCCATAATTAAATTAGACAAATTGTATTTCAACCTCTGTGCTTTTCTCAGGAGCACCGGTGGCTCAATGGTTAAGCAGCTAGCCAAAAGGTTGGCAGTTGGAACGCACCAGCAGCTCTGTGAGAGAAAAGACCTAGCAATCTGCTTCCATAAAGATTACAGCCTAGGAAACTCTATGGGGCAGTTCTACTCTGTCACATGGGGTCGCTATGAGTCGGAATCAATTTGACAGCACCTAACAACAGCAAGATGCTTTTCTCTAGTTGTACTAATGGCCTTCCCTTCACTATTTGAGAATAATTCCATCTCTGTTGGTAGACAGGAGTCCCTGGGTGGTGCGAACCGTTAATGTGCTCAGCTGCAAGGTTGGAGGTTCAAGTCTGTCTGGAGGCACCTCAAGATAAAGTCCTGGGGATCTGCTTCCAAAAGGCCACAGCCTTGAATACCATATGGAGTGCAGTGGTACTCCGCAACACAAGAGGTTGCCATGAGTTGGAACTGACTCAACCACAACTGGTTTCTGGTTGGCAGACAGACAGTGGGTTTCTCTGCTTAGTGAACCACCAGGAACTTACTGATCCTCCTACAGAAACTACCGTTGGTTTGAAACACTATATAGAATACTGTGGCATTTTCCATACCAGTCTATATAAATTTTATATTGAAGAGGAAAGAATCATCCATTTCCCTTGAGCCAAATTGATGTAACTTTTGGACATGCTGAAACACTCTCCTTTTCTCTCCATGCAGGACCCAAAGATTAGCACCAGTCTGCCCGTTCTGGATCTCATTGATGCCATTCAGCCAGGTTCCATTAACTATGACCTTCTGAAGACTGAGAACCTGGATGCTGAGGAGAAGCTCAACAATGCAAAGTACGTAAATGAACCTGAGACCTGGACCGAAGGACCAGACTGGCAATGAAATAGCTGGAAAGTCTATTGCTAGTGCCTTCATGTGTTATTATTATTGATGCTTGTTTTTCCGTTTCATTATTTATTATAGTCTCATCATCGTTTTCGATGTGGTGCAATACCAGTTTAAGGCTCCTAGTGTTAGGATGGGAACAAGAAAAAAAACACGAATAGTCTTGCAATTGATAAGCAAGCCTGTACAGGTAGTCCCAACTTACGACAGGGTTCTGTTCAGACAACTCTGTCACAAGTCGCTGATGTAAGTCGAGTACCTCATTTTTTTTTCAGTTTTCATTATTATTTCCTTTTATTATCAGTGTCTTTATAAACCTGATCTTTATTTGTCTTTGGGAGTTGGAAACATTACATATAAACTTATAGATATATTTTAATACATACATACATTAAAAAATACACAAATCATAAAAATTTACTTTGACGATGAGGAAAAGTTGGGTGACATTGCATTTTGACAGTTATAGTAATAACTCCACTTGTGGAAGGTTCTGGATCCTCTGGATTATCCCTAGGAATGGGGATGGCATTTCTAGTTAGAAAATTAGTGAAAGCTATCTGTATGGTCCGTTTCTTCTATCTTCATGTATTTCTCAGTAACATCTCACAGCTTCCTGAATCTGCCTGTCGACTTCAGCAAAGTGATCAGCATTTGGGTCCATGTTTTCAAGCAACTGAAGCCCCTGATTTAGTTTAGAAAACTAATCTGTATGGCAGTGTTTTGAACAGTAAATCATAAAATTGAACATCTTTGAGTGAACATCTGAGAATAACATCAGCAAATTATGCGTGCAACAGTGTATGTAGTACATATTACTAACGATAAGATGTCCAAAACAAAAAACAGACGGTTGGAAGTATAGTTCGTCGTAACTGGAATACGTCATAAGGCAGGGACTACCTATAGTTTCATAAAACCGATTTTCTAATCATACTCTATAGGAGACTTCCTAACTAATGTTTGTATATGGCAGGCCCCAAATGCAGTCATCCCATTTGTGAATATCCATGGATATGCAGGGGCAGTGGTGGGGTTCAAAGCCAGAGTCTTTACCACGTGGGGAACAGCTGCCATTTGCTTTTCAATTGGGCCACCTGCCGAATGATGACTACAGAGCCCAGGTTCGGCAAACTACAGTCTATGAGCCCAGCCTGGCCTGTGGTCTGTTGTTGTAGATACAGTTTTACTGAAACACAGCCAAGCCTGTTCCTTTGCTTCCTATGGCTGCTTACCTACTACAGGCAGAGTTGGGTAGTTTCAACAAAGCCCAAAAAGCTGAAAATCCTTACTGTCTGGTCTTACAAAAGCACTAGCTGACCCCTCCTCTAGGGAGGCACGTTTCTCAGAGCAGAAATAAAGTACACAAGCGCTCTTGCCCAGCAGACCTGCTTCTAACCCAGCAGTGCCCTTCCCTCTGTCCCCAGTCCAGGGAAGTGGGGACCTGTGTTCCTGGCATGCATATAGTTAGCACAGTCAAGATAAATGATTAAATAGCAGTTACAGTGGGGTGTGATGGGTGCTATGAAGTGGGGTGTGCAGGGGACGCAGGAAGGGGACTGAACCCACCAGAAGGCCTTGGAAGGCTCTGCAGAGCAAATAACCTTTAAGCTGAGATGGAAAGGATGAGTGAGAAGGAAGGATTCAGGTGAAGGAGACAGGAAGAATATCCCAGGCAGGGGGAAAAGTGCAGATGAAGACACAGAGATTTAAAAAAAAAAAAAGCCTTCAGTCCAGACGTTCAAGGGGGATAGAATTAGATTTAAGAAACTTGCTCAAGGTCACAGGATTATTAAATGGCACAGTTAAGATTCAGAGTCTGACTTCAGATTCCTAGGCACTCTCCTGTAGGGCGAGATATAAAATTACTTAGACAAGTGGGTAAAGGAAGTACGCAAAATGCTAAGCATGGTCATGTCACGGTGACAAGGATTGAGCATGAATTTTTTAAAAGCTTCTTTTCTAACTTTTAAGCATTTTTTCTCTAGATTTTATAGTAAAAAAGAAATGTTACTTAAAAAGTATTAACGATTAAAATTTTGTTGTGTGCCGTCGAGTAGATCTTGATTCATAGCAGCCTCATGGGATGGAATAAAACTACCCTATAGAGTTTTCTTAGCTGTATTCTTTACAGGAGCAGATCGCCAGGTCTTTCTCCCGTGGAGCTACTGGGTGGGTTTGAATCGCCAACCTTTCGATTAGCAGTAGTGCTTAACCGTTTGCACCACGAGGGCTCCTTAATAATTAAGAGAGAAGAAAAAGAATGGGACTACTCCTGCCTGATGCTCTGAATTTAATTTGATGAATAAAGTGGGAGTTAAAGTTATTTAGGAGAGCCGAAGGGAGAATGGGGCCTTGGGTAAAGTGGAGAGACTGTGGTAGCCATTGTGTGAGGCTACCAGGTAACAATGAGGAGAGTAAAAGAACTGCCAGGGAGTAGCACGGCTTCATTTGGAAATAAATTACAAGTAATGAAAGTTATCTTTATATAACTATAAATAAAGCAAAAATGTTCTGATGCTGCTGTGATAATTTTATATGAAAACGTGTAAGACTCTGACTATTCTCATATTATGGTAACATAAATAAATATATGTTTATGTGAGCAAGGATTAGAATGGAACCAGGAAAAAAGAATTGATGTGTGAAGTCTAGGTATTCTAGGTTCATTTTTCCTTTTTTCTTCCTTGTAAAAATGTTTATGTGATTATAATATAGGCTGCAAAATTTTCCTAGCACAAATTCTAATTCTGTTCTATGACATTATGCTGTATAACCAAACCAGTTGCATCGAGTCAGTTCTGACTGATGGCAACCCCGTGTGTGTCAGAGTAGAACTGTGCTGCATAGGGTTTTCAGTGGATGATTTTTCAGAAGTACCTTACCAGGCCTGTATTCTGAGACACACCTCCAACCTTTCAGTTAGTAACCAAGCGCATTAACCACTTGCACACCCAGGGCCTCTGTATGCTGTATAGCCCAAGAGAATACTCGCAGTTCTAGGCATCTAAAGGAAGTGAGGGCTGGGGAAGTCTCCAAGGACAGATAATAAATGTGTAATTTTCACAAGCCTAGACAGCAAGTCTGATGGAGTCAGGAACTTTGTCGAGCCAAGATGTGCCCATAAAAACGGGAGGAAGCCAGTGACTGGCTCCTGGTATACCAGGAGTGAGTTCTGAAAGTTGATCAGCAGTAACCAGGATCCTGGGGGTCCCCATCCTACTTTGTGGTCAACTCTGCTCACCTTTTTCTCTCTTCTCCCTTTCAGATATGCCATTTCCATGGCCCGAAAAATTGGAGCACGAGTGTATGCCCTTCCAGAAGACCTGGTTGAAGTGAACCCCAAAATGGTCATGACAGTGTTCGCTTGCCTCATGGGGAGAGGAATGAAGAGGGTGTGAAGTCCAGTGGGTGGGTTGAGACCACCACTCCCTGCCTGGCCGCTTGGGCCAGGACACCCCCAGGAAGCCCATGGATCTGTTACAAGCCTCTCCTCTTTCCCCTTCTCCACTCTGTCTCCCCGTGACTTTGCTCTCCACCCTCCCAGAAAGTCACCCCTCTGTGGCCCACCTCTGCTGGCCATCCTTGTCTCTGGGCCTTTGGAGCATCTGACAAGCCAGTCAGCCTGTTTGAGTCCCAAGAGATTTGGATGGTCTACAAAAGTAGCCTCATTACTAGAAACTTTCCCCAGAACTGGGGTCCCAAATGTCATCAATTTTTATGTTTTCCACCAGGAAGAAGCTCTTTGTTTTTAACCGTAGGATTTGGGCTTGTTCTAGAGCTAACACATCTTTAATATCTGTGCTGGCAGGTAGAATCTTAACTCTTGGCCAAAGGTTGAATCCACGGAAGGTGTAATGGAACAGACAACCACTAGAGGACAGCGTGGAGCTATAACTAAGATCTGTCCTTTAGGGTGCTACCTCTCTGTATGTTCAGCCCTGCATATTAGACCTAGTTATTGTGGATGTCTAAATAAATATGTGGTGACATTTGGAAGCAATCCTACTCTGCTTTCGTTTTCTCGCAGATCTTAGAGTATCTGATGACTGCCACGCTACATTATCAGTGTTTATTTTTTTGGTACTATAGAAGCCTTTTGGCACCTCCCGCACCCTAGGGGACCGCTTGTGCCAATGAACACACACACACACACACTCACACACACATCCAGCCAGATGTCACAGGTAAAATGAATACAAGCTGGATGAGACTTGGCTGAATTGCTTTACGAAGAGCTTTTTTACTAGACATTTAAGCAGTTGCAAAGCAAAACCGGAACAGTGTAAATTTAGCAGCCCTAATAGATCACGCAATCTCCACCAAACCAACTGAAGGCGAAAGAGCAGCAGAGGTTTGTGAACCAACACCGAGCTCCCTCTCTCGTGGTGAAAGGGCTCAGCAGTGAGCTGTCTTCTGTAGAGAGGGAATGGAATGGAACTTAGCCGTTTTCCTAAGTGATTAAGTGCATCACCCTGGGTCTGCTCCTTGGCAGTGGGCTCCAGAAGCTGATACGTGACTTATCTGGGCCCATGACCCATATTTCTGGTGCATCTGAATGCAAAGTGGTCGGCTTTGTCTTCGTCTGAACCTCATGTAGTCTCAGCTGATTTTCTTCCCCATCTGCTCCCAGGAAGGAAGACTGTTACTGCCTTAGTGGAAAATGAAGATAAAATAATGCTCGAGATCTCTCCAAATAAAATATTGCTGTATTTTTGGTGTCTGTAGATGTTTCCTTTTGAAGATTTATAGGAGTGTACTATAACTTATTCAGTCATTCCTTGGCCATGGTGGGGGTATGTATACCACAGGAATGATCGAACCCTCAAAATTGGGGTTTTTTTTTTCCTCCCAGAGCCCTGGCTTATCATCCCACCATTGCCTCTGTGCCAGGCCTTCAGTTCCTCTCCTGGGCAGCCACCACCTTACCAATGACGTTTGTGTCCCTCCAGAAATACTTAAACACACACACACATCCCTTTTTTTATACACGTTAGCATACCATACACATCATTCTGCATCTCTCTTTTTTCACTTAATACCCTATCTTGGAGATTATTCTGTGTTTGTGCAAGTAAATCTACCTCAATCTTTTCTATAGGTGCATAGTATTCTATTGTAATTCCAGTTCCCAGTTGCTGTCAAGTCGATTCCAACTCGTGGCAACCCCAGGTGTGTCAGAGTAGAGCTGGGCTCCACAGGGTTTTCAATGGCTGATTTTTCAGAAGTAGATCACCAAGGCTTTCTTCTGAGGCACCTCTGGGTGGACTCAAACCTCCAGCCTTTTGGTTAGCAGCGAAGTGCATTAACCATTTGTACCACTTGAGAACACATTCTGTTGTATGACTGTGCCAGAAGGTATTCAGCAAGGGGCCTATACATGGATATTAAGATGTTTCAATCTTTTGCCACAGCAAGTAAGGCCACAATGAATAATCCTCTACCTGGTTTGTGCCAAGAAGGTTAATTTTAATTCCACAGGTACTTACTTATTTCTGTTCTAACAAAGGTATTGAACACTGGGGAGTAAAACGTGGATCCTCCTCTTAAGTTGCTTCAAATTATTTTGCAAAGAATCGCGAAGCCAAGACAGACCCCTGAGCCTATCTATTCCATCCTCTCTGTTACGGCTAAAGAAGCAGTCAACCCAACAGGAAGATAATGTGCGCATAGTTACACACACACTATGCAATAAAAAAGCAAAATGTGATCAATGCTCTAAGAAATTTGTCAACAAAGTATTATGGGAGTTGGGTGGAAATGAATTCTGAATAAAGGGTCTATTAAGTTTTGCAGAAAAGCTGAGATCTGACAAATGAGAAGTGAGTAGCAACCACGATTTCTGTTAGTAGCCGTCGAGTTAGCTCTAACTCATGGCGACCTTATATACAGCAAACAAAATGTGGCCCCGTCCTGCGCCATCTCCCTGAACCATACCTTGCAGATGTTAATATACGCCCAAAGAGTCTAGCACATTTCTAGGTTTTTAATAAGAGCTCAGCAAATTTAAAAAAATGATTTACATTAGGTAAACAACAGTTTCCTGACCGGGCAGGGGTGCTAAATAGATGTTATTATGAGAAAAGTTGTAAAATTCTCTTGCTTGCAGAATTTTTGGAATAAAATGGATTCCCATCTGTCTGGAAATTATGACGCTTTAGAGCCTGTCTGATGCAGTGGGGTAGATTATTTAGACTAGATGGCCTCAAAGTCTCAGCCAGCCTAGTGATTTTATCCACTGGAACACTCACGAACACACACACAAACTCGCACCCACACATCTAGTCTGTCCTTTGAAGCACAGTTGTGGCCTCTTGATTGTAAAGACTGTAAACTCTTAGCCCATCTTGGACCAGCCTATCTCAGGCAGATGCTTAATGCATGAGAGACATTTCCACGTGCTTCCCAGTATCCCCGGGATGGCTCCTAAGCCCACCCATCTTTTCTTTCTATGTATTTATTTGTCCTGAAATAAATACAGCTAAACATTTGCCATTTCAACCATTCTTACATGTACAGTTCAGTGGCATTAATTACATTCATCATGTTATGCAGCCATCACCACTATGCGTTTCCCATTTTTTCGTCTCCTAGTGTCTTAGCCATCTAGTGCTGCTGTAACAGAAATCCCACAAGTGGATGGCTTTAACAAAGAGAAATTCATTCTCCCACAGTCTAGTAGGCTACAAGTCCAAATTCAGGCTCCAAGCGAAGGCTTTCTCTCTCGGCTCTGGAGGCAGGTCCTCGTCATCAATCTTCCCCTGGACTAGGAGCTTCTCTGCGCAGGAACCTCGGGTCCAAAGGACGTGCTCTGCTCCCAGCACTGCTTTCTCGGTTGTATGAGGTCCCCAACTCTCTGCTTGCTTCCCTTTTCTTTTATTTCTTGAGAGAGAAATGGTAGTGCAGGCCACACCCCAGGGAAGCTCCCTTTACATTGGATCAGGGATGTGACCTGGGTAAGAATGGTGTTACAATCCCACCCTAATCCTCTGTAATGTAAAATTACATTCACAAAATGGAGGACAATCACAGAATACTGGTAATCGTGGCCTAGCCAAATTGATACACACATTTTTGGGGGGACAAAATTCAATCCATGACACCTAGTATGGATTGAATTGTGTCCCCTTACAATATCTGTTAAGGAATCCTGGTGGCACAGTGGTTAAAGTGCTTGTCTGCTAACCAAAACGTCTGGCAGTTTGAACCTACCAGCAGCTGCGTGAGAAAGATGTGGCAGTCTGCTTCCGTAAAGATTACCCAGTGCCATCCAGTCAATTCCGACTCATAGCGACCCTGTGGGACAGGGTAGAACTGCCCCATAGGGTTTCCTAGGCTGTGTGAAACCCTGGTGGTGTAGGGGTTAAATGCTACAGCTGCTAACCAAAATGTCGTCAGTTTGAATCTACCAGGTGCTTGCTATGAGTCGGAATTGACTGGATGGCAATGGATTTAAAATATCTGTTGGAATCTTACAGATCACCTGTATTGGTGAATGTAATCCTGTTTGGGATTAGGGTTTTCCTTATTATGTTAGGAGCCCTGGTGGTGCAGTGGTTAAAGCGCTAGGCTGCTAATCAAAAGGTCATTGGTTTGAACCCACCAGCCACTCCGCGGGAGAAACAGGTGACAATCTACTTCCGTAAAGATTTACAGCCTTGGAAACCCTATGGGGCAGTTCTACTCTGTCCTATAGGGTTGCTATGAGTCGGAATTGACTCTAGGGCAGTGGGTTTGTTTTGTTATGCTAATGAAGCCACATCAGTGTAGGCTCTGTCCTAAATCTAATCAGTTTTGAGTTATAAGGAGCAGCCTAGACACAGAGACAAGGAAGCACCTACTGGGGAAGACAGATGCCATGTGAGGATTACCAGAAAAAATAAATAAATGAGGAACAGAAGCTGAAAGAGACAAAGATCTTCCCCCAGAGCTGACAGAGAAAGAGAGCGTCTTCCCCTATAGCCAGTTCTCTGAATTTAGATTTCTGGCTTCTTAAACTGTGAGGAAATAAATTTCTCTCTTTAAAGCTGTCCACTTGTGGTGTTTCTGTTACAGCAGCACTAGGAAACTAAGACGTCATCTTTAGTGGGGACTAGTGCCCCATAAGCAGCACCTCCCCATGAGCCCACCTTTCTTGCAGTTACTGTACCTGTTGTCAGACAGCAGCTGCCGAGGTATCATCGACCTTTGTTCTTCGTCCGACCCAGACGTGCCAACAGGCTTAGGTTAAATGCCTGCAGTGCACTCTGGGTGAACCTGATGTTGATTTGCCCAGCAGGTCTCTTCCAAGCTTAGGATCCAGAAAGGAGAGCTGTTGCTCAGAACAACTTAGCAATACTGCCTGATCCTCTCACGAAATCTAGACACTTGGACAGTTTCCTAATAAAATTCTGGAAATTAAACTCTCAGCTGCCCAAGAGTGCTTTTTACCCAGTGTCATTCCATCCCTATTTCTGAAAGACAGAATTTATCAACTAAATGTGTGGCAAAAATTAAAAAATAAAAAGGAAAGAAAAGAAAATTGTTTAGATGTTTTTTCATGTCTAAATCCAAATCAAATCCATCGCCGTCAAGTCGATTCCAACACATAGTGACCCTATAGGACAAAGTAGAACTACCCCATATGGTTTCTAAGACTGTCATCTTTATGCAAGCAGACTGCCACATCTTTCTCCCGAGGAGAAGCTGGTGGGTTCAAGCTGCCTACCTTTTGGTTAGCAGCCCAGTGCTTAACCATGGTGCTACCAGGGCTCTTTCTTTCATGTCTAAAGTCTACAAATATTTAGTAATCCATCCTATATCAGGCACAAAACGTAGATGATCTAGTCCATACCCACTACCTCACCGTTAACAATTCAGGGATGGGTTAACAAAATGGCAGTGATTTATATATTATCTGGCATATCAAGAAGAGGGGGTCCATTTAAACAAGTAGTTTGGTTAATAGAGAGTTACAATATATCATTTTTAGAATAGCAACTTTTAGAGAATTAGGATGCCAGCAAACTTTTACTTCTAAAGCTATATGGATCTCATGTCATAACTGATGACTCCATAGGCATTTCTGGACTCAGCTATACCACAAGCCCACCGTTATGGGCCCGGACTGTTTAAAATAGGGACACCTGGGAGCTGGCTAACAATGCAGAATCTCAGCTCTATTCCAAACCAACTGAATCAGAGTCTACATTTTAATAAGATCCCCCGTACACACATTAAAGTTTAAGAAGTACTTTCCTAAAATAATTATTGTTGTTGGGTGCCATCGAGTCGATTCCAAGTCATGGAGACTCCATATGACAGAGTAGAACTGCCCCATAGTGTTTTCTTGGCTGCAATCTTTACAGAAGCAGATTGCCAGGCCTTTCGCCACAGAGCCACTGGGTGGGTTCAAACTGTCAACCTTTCAGTTAGCAGTCCAGCACTTAGCTGTTGCTCCTCCAAGGCTCCTTTTCCTACAAGAATAGAGGTCTCATTAAAAGACCTATAGAAAGTGAAGAGACAACCTATAGACTGGGAGAAAATTTTTGAAAACCATATATCAGATAAGGGTTTAATAACCAGAATACATAAAGAACTCCTACAACTTAACAGCAACAAAAAAAAAAGACAAACAACCCAGTTGAAAAATGGCCTCAAGACTTGAATAGACATTTCACCAAAGAGGATATTTGAACGGCCAACAAGCACATGAAAAGATGCTCAACGTCATT